TAAGGTCTGCGCCAGCGGCAACCAGTTGCGGGAGGAAATGCGTGCGCTTGTGTGTGATACACTTGAAGGCCGGGTACTCCGCAGCGTTGAAGTTGGGGTCTGCGCCATGCTCTAGCAGATAAGTGACGATCTCCGGGCTGTTGTCACGAATAGCTGAGCAGAGTGGTGTGTAGACTCCGTCTTTCCGCAGGTTGGGTGATACACCAGCTTCCATGAGGATCTTGATGGAATCCAGCTTCTTAAGACTAGAAGCCAATTCCATGACACCTGGTGTCTTCTTGGTGTCAGCACCGCGAGAAAGCAGCAGCTGAAGAGCTTTTGGCTTGTAGGTGGATGGCCAGAGCGGGTGCTTAGGGCCCGGAAGGTTGGGATTCGCTCCGTGGTCGAGCAACACAGTCATGAGATCTACACGGTTCGCCTGAATAGCCTGGAAGAGGGCCGTTGTACCCTCTCCATTCTTTGCGTTGGCATCGCCATCCGCGCTCAGGAGCATTTCAACACACTTGGGCGAAGTGGTCTTGTTCATGGCTGATACGAGTGCCGTAGAACCATTTTCCATGATGAAGCCAGCATCGCCGCCATTGGCGAGATACAATTGAACGAGATCAATAGAGTTCTGAGACGCAGCCAGCGCTAGGGGTGATTCGGAATCGGGGCCGGCGGACAGGTTAGGATCAGCGCCATGCTTTAGCAGTGTCTTCGCACATTCAAGACATTGGGCACGAGTGGCGGCGAACAAGGGAGTGACACCTTCGCGGTCGAAACCGTTCGCATCCGCACCATATCGTAGAAGTAGCGTGATGCTCTCCACGTCTTGATTTTGGGCAGCGACGCGAAGCATTGCTGACTCCATGTGAGGTTCTGCTTTAGCACCGCCGTCAAGGAGCTGCTCGAGCATCCGGTGCCTCCTCTGTTCGACAGCGTTGAAGAGTGCTGCCTTGCCACCAACATTCTTGGAGCCCCCACTTTGGCGTGGCGCCCAGTGCGGCGATGTGATGGCAGAATCCACTTTGGATGAAGAGTGATGATCGTCCATGTAGCGCTCGCTGACATTGAGACTGTGCAACTTCTCTTCCATGGTGGGCGACCGGGTAGAGGAGTGAGATGCGACATCCTCGTACACCGGATCCTCGTGATACCGAACATTCTGATGGTACATTGTGTCCCTGGTTGATTCACTGGAACGAGCGCTGGCTGGTGCGCGCCAGTTCTTGTGAAGATCAACGATTCCTGGCGAGAGGCCAGTGTCCTCGTGCCTGAAATTTGAACTATGACTGTCATACGAGTGTCCTTCCTCGTGGCGAAGTTCGTTCAGTGACGGTCTGTCCATACGGTGTGAAGGATGTGAAGGTGGTAAGAGGGGGTGGTCTCCATGATTGCTCGGAGCTTTTGTAGGTGGTGTCGGTGGAAGATCGGATGTCGGCGCTGGGTGTAGAGGTGGAAGGCTGGAAGCTTTGCTTGGGTTCAGTCGCTCCAACGCGGCAATCAGTCCGGCATATCCAATGCCCATGGAAGCATCGGCTCGCGCGTCGCCTAGTGTCCACCTGAACATAGCAGAGCTGACTTTGAGGGAGTCACGACTTCGTGACAGTGTGTGGCGCATTTTCTCGACATCTGTGTCGGCGAACATCATTCGGAACTTCATGCCAAAGCCGCCTTTGTGGTTCTCCTTGTCGACAACTGTAGCAAGTAATGCTGTCAGCAACAGTCCGCAACAACCATGCAAGGGAGGGTAATAGAAGCAGACAATCCAAGATTTGGGGAAACGTACACTTGTTGACCATTTGGGCCAAAACAGAGAACTCTTCGTTGACTTGGCGGACCCTTCTGTCAAGTTCTTGAGATACCTCGACGGGAAATCCACTTCGTGTTTTCGAAGCTTCCGTGACACCGGCCTCAATGGACCATAACACCTGACAGAGTTCGATGAACTCTCTGGCAAGTGGCTCAAAGCCATGAATAGGTGTCTTTGCTGTGCTCAGGTATTCGAGCATGCGGATTGCGATGGTGTTTCCCTGTGCGTTGACCCGCTTGCACAGATCAACCGATGTCTCTTTTGCTGGAGCCATGACAAAGATGGTAACAATGAACGAATGCTGGGGGGAATCAAAGAGACCAACGAGCGGGTCAACGAGGCTTCTTTACAGTGCACTCGAGAGCCCTGACTAGAGACTATCTGTGGCCCGCTCCAAATACCGTGGTAAGCCAGGCCGTCCGTCTGCTCTAGCCCGCATGAGCATCGAGTCAAGGAGGCGCGACCAGGCGAATCGCGTCGCGTCATAGCTCTAAGGTTGTAATGGGCGCTCGAAAGGCCCGGAATAAGGTTTAGGTTCTCGCCTTCGCCGGGCTTAGTGCCAAGAGCTGTATGGCAGCGCCCCAGGTTGTTCTAGGGATATCCTAGATGACACCTGCCATTCCACGTGAAAGTGTGCGTGCATAGGGGGAAAACATACGGTCGGTGCTGTGGGCCGAAACCTATCTCCGGGAAACTGTTGTACGCTACACAGTTTAGCAAGACATAGCACCGATGAATATCATTTTGATTGCCGGCAGCTTCCTTTTAGCTGATCATTGTGACTGCAGCGTGCAGATTGTGCCTGCTGGCACAGCTGCATGCCACACTACTGCTAGCCGAGCATCGTGCGGGTTGATCTTTCTCGGGTATCTAGTCCATACTTGGATAGCTGCCTCGTGCTGCTTGCATGCATGTATGATCTAAGCGTTGGCTATGCGAGGAGCGGTATCTCCCCCAACTGACTCCAAAATTGGTATGCGTGTGAACGTCTCGACAGCCCAGATAGTGCACGAAACAGAATCTGCCCAAACCACGCGGATGCTAGATGCAAAGTCATCTCGTATCAGCCGCCAGTGTTCAGCCCAAAGAACGAGCCGTGCATGGGTACGTTCGGCGTTGCATGAACAAGGCGCCGAACGTAACGGGAAAAGCAAAAGAGCATTCGCCTACCAGCCACATATTCGTAATTGCCATCTGGGGTCCATCGGTCATGTCTTTCCGGGCTATCTAGCTCCACCTGCGATAACCCTGCGCGCAGTGTACGTACGCAGACTGCCTTTAGGCCGCACGGCCCGAGACACATCATTTGAGTGGGTGGTACGCCGTTCCGCTAGAGGTGAAGTTCGGGGCATCCAAAGCTCGTTGCCCCATGAAGAGAGGCGTCTCGCTGCGCCAGGGATTGCCAGAAGGGTCGCCGAAGCTTCGTTGAAACCTCGTCTACCCCTGGCTTCGGAATCGTATTGCTAGCTGTGCCGCACAAGATCGATCTAGGGCTGGTGCCACCAACAGCCGCAGCGAGACCTGATCTCTTCGGACATGCCTCCGCCATACTCGAAAATTCCGTCTGGACAAATGACAAGTGACAAAACTGAACAATACAGGAGTGGGGCTAACTCCCTCCATCCACAAGGGTAGCGGAAAGTCTAGCCAACTATTGAGCGCGTGGGAGCCGTAAAGATGTCTTTCGTGGACGTCCGCTATGATTGGTCCCCGACTAAGTTTCGCAATGATGCAAGATACAAAAGGGCAAAGACTGGCTCACTAGTACCAGATTTTCAGCCAAGCACGTTGCGAGCTCTTGCCGAGGATGATGACTTCCGGCAGCTTGCTGATCAAGAGGCTCTTAGCGAGCCGCGTCTGTACCCAGCCCAAGGTCTCTCGACGTTTCAGGCCGTTTTGAAATGAGGCGTTGACAGTGGCTCGGAATATGAGCGTTGCGATGATCTTCATGGAATTGCAAACCTTGGGCGTCTGCAGTCATGCAAATCCTCCGCAATTACTCATCTCAGGCTCAGATCCTAGGTACGCCTAACACGACGCTAGCACGTGCCGCGACCGCGCTATTGGTAGAACGCCCAGTACCTGCGAGGGGAGGATTCTGGGCCGTTCTTGCGCACTTCGCCGTTTTTGCTAGTGACCTTGGACTTTGTCGAGTGTACAATGTTCTCGCCGATGTGCGGTCTGGTACTCTTTCCATGAGACGCCAACTTGGGCGAAATGCATTCGCGAAGGATTTTGTCTCTGTCAGAACACGTTCTTTTGTAGAAGGACAAGCGTAGCATGGGGCGGCACGGCTATGCAAGATCGGAGATGAAGTTCTGAGGAAGGGTTGAGCATGACGACTAGAGGTGAGTCAGTTGGCATCGGAAGCACGGAGTGCTCCCACTTGGCGAGTATGTCGTAAGGTAGCGACCGCGTCGGCACCACAAACAGAATGGCTAAGGCTTGTCATTCTGCAGTGCGTGCAATCGGTTCCTGGTAGTCGGGTGTAGCTCTTGCAGCATCCTCGTGATAGTCCACAACTTCCACACGTATTCCTTCAGCCCGCAGGAGGAAGCAAAAGAGTACTCCTTTGACTCGAAACGCGGTCCGGGCTGGTGCTTGAGCTTGTATTCTGGTATACGGCATGATTGCGATAGCTTTGATGTAGCCCGCGAGAGAAGATTGTGCATTGCAAAACCCAATACCAGATTCCTTGAGCTGACGAAGGGTGGGCCTAAGTCCGCTCAATCAGGGTATGCATGTTTGGATTCCTGGAACTGCTCGATGCTAGTACTTGGATTGAACGGCTGACCAGTGCGCTGAGTACGATCGATCTGATGCGCGATGTGCTCAATGTGAACATCCCTTCACGATGCGTCAGGATGATAGGCGAGGATATATGTGGCGCCCTGTGGGATCGAATGAGCCAGGATCCCGAGGTCTGGTACGCATCTCATCTCTCCACACTGCGCACTGCTTACCGAGATCGATCAGACGTGGCGTATTCGATATCTCAGGCAATGCATTGGGGACCTAGTGTATTTTCCGAGAGTTCAGCCTAATTGTGGCGTCGTTGGAAAAAACAGGCGTGGCTCAGGTGGTAGGAGCTGTACCCAGGCTCAACGAGATCACGTGATACTGGAGCCCGAGCCGAATGCCAAGCAGGCGCGCCTTTCTTCGAGCGCGCCAACACCCGCGACCACACCCTGCAAAGGCTTCCAATATGAGCGGACATCAGCTTCCAGTCGCGCCGGCTAGTGACGCGATGCCTACGGATCTCTCCACCTTCAATATCCCCGATCTCATCAAGACGTCGCATAACGCGCGTTTGTACAACGAAGTGCAAAACCTCAAGAAGCTCATCAATGAGCTTGTAGACTACCAGCTCGCCCACCCAAAGAATACGAAGCCAGGTTCGCGCGAAGATATTGACAAGGAGAAGAAAGCCACACAAGACATAGAGAAGCGGGAGAAGTACATCCGCGCGCAACTGTCGATTGTCAAGACCTTGTACCGGCAGAGCGTGCTGAAAGTGCGCGAGGAAAAGTCGAAGACCTCCGATGACAGGGCAGTGAACGATGCGCTCATTCTGGGTCTCCACAACCTCAAGTATGAGGAGCAGTCGCTACGATCCGAGATCTCTGCTGCTGAAAACTACGAGTGCGTCTTCGCGTGGAAAACTGCGTCCATCGCTAACTATTGTATAGCCACAAATACATGAAGCTACCACTCATCCCCCGCGAGCAGTTCCTCGAGCAGTTCCCCGAGCACCAAGATTCGAATGAACACGACCTTATGACGGCGCGCATCGAGCACGAACACCAAGTCCGTCTCAAGCTCGAGGAAGCGCGGCAGGAGAAGCTGAAGCAGAAGCAAAAACTCATTGCGGAGGTTAAGAAGGGCAAGGACGATCTCACCAAGCTGGACACCATGGTCGAGAAGTTCATCGAGGCTGCAGAACCGATCAAGAAAGTGCTGGCTACGGAGTAAATACTTGCTACTGGATTTTCTTCTTGGACTTGATGCGATGCAGCACTGGAACTATGCTTATACTTGCACTTAGGGATGTCAACATCGTTGAGAAGGACGGGTTTGAAGCAAAGGCTCAAACATGGCAGCCTGCACCCATCCAGACTGGACTTGCAATGCCGTCTACGAGCGGAAATGCGGCGCCAAAGACTGCTCCCTTGTAGTCTACTACCACGCAAGCTCGCAAAGACGGACATGGCAGACCGAGATACACTACCCGGTTAGTTTGCTAAGGGTGCGCTCAGTTCGACTTGAGGGTCAGGCATGTCCTGTCCTGAGGAAGCAACGCAGTCGCTGCAACATCGCAGCTACAGTAGCGTGTGTCGGGAAAGGTCAGGGGAGCCAAAGTAGTCGATGCAGGAACAATGGGAGCTCGTAATAGTTTGACTAGTAACAGACACGGTACCATTAGCCGGTGCTGATTAGGTGGTCAATTTTGGCGCAAAGCCGAGCCTCTACATTCTCTCCTCGCGCCTTGTCATGTGTGTGCTCGAAGCAGACCCGTGTCTGGGGTAGGATTGAATGGTGGGACTGATGCCTGGTTGTGGGGACCCTGGTCTCCACCTGTCTTGGCGCGTCGGCGATTACGGATATCCGCCCACGCCCGTCTTCGCCCAGTCCCTCATTACACCACAACTTGTTCCCCGCACACGCGCCCACTCTGCCGCCATGGTTGTTGCTCTAGAGGGTAGTGCTGAGCTCCTCTGCGCATATCCGGTGCCTGCGAGCGGCCTCTCGAGATGCCGTGGGCCGCCATCACTGCCGGCGCAAGATGCCTCGGACTGCATACGTACTATGCAAGACTGGTTCAAAGCGCCTGCGCATACGGAGCAAGAGCCGTCGCCCAAGCGACGTAAAACTGGTGATGGCAGGGCTATCTCCGTGCCTTGGCGGGCGGACGCAGACGCAAAAGATAGTATCGTCTTGGCCAGAGTATCTATTGACTTGGTTAGTGGGCTGGCCAACATCTGTGATGCTGGACTGACCCGTATGCAGAACATGCCCCTTCCTTCGCCAGACTTCATGGACACGACGGACGCCTCAGCCACGCCGCAAGATTCCATACCTCTAGAACTCGAATCGTGCCATAGGGATCGGGCAAAAGAGACCCTGCAAATTAGACTCCGAAACGTGGTCGATAGAACGGGACTTGACCTGGCCGCCACAACCTCTTCCGCCTTCGCAGACTCGATCCTGCCCCACCTTCGGACCGTCACTACATTTGCTACTATGCGTCGAGGCAAGAACACCAAACCCGCGTCTCGAGCAGCTTTCTGTCGCTGTCAGCTGTACGCGCCCGGTGAGGGACGCACTATACACAAATTGGTTGTCGAGATACGGTGGACCTTGGGCATGTCAGTGGTTGAGGACTCAGCCGTCACACGCCATTATATGGCCGCAGATCTGAGTCTTCTCCGCGTCTACATGACTGACGAGTTTACAAGAGGCGACAAGAAATGGACTTTGTCTGATTTCTACACTTCGGTTCATGTGCCAGCAGCAGACATGGATGTCTCCCCACGCATCAAACAGAGTTTGCTCGAGACCAAGCTTCTACCTTTCCAAGAGAGGACCGTTGATTGGCTCTTGCGTCGAGAAGGCGTTGCATTCTCATCCTCTGGGCTGCTCGAGCCATTCGTCAACAGTTCGCCACCAGCATCGTTCAGACAGACCCAAGACGCCCTGGGAACACCGTGCTATGTCAGCTATCTCCGAGGCTCTATTGTTACAAATATAGATGCAGCCAAGGACGACGCTCTGCGGTCACTGCGTGGCGGCATACTCGCCGAAGAGATGGGCTTAGGTAAAACAGTCGAGCTAATCGCACTCATATCCCACCACAAGCGAGACATACCCAAAGGAAACGTCTACGACGTATACACTGAAGCTGAAGTTAAGCCCTCAGGTGCTACGTTGATCATCACTCCACCTTCCATCCTAGAACAGTGGATGAGCGAATTGCGCACTCACGCCCCTGATCTCAAAGTCTGCCATTACAAGGGTCTCCCACCTCCGACTGCACCAAAGAGTGTCCATGCACCATCTACCATTGAGCATCTCCTGCAATATGACGTAGTGCTAACGACGTATCATGTGCTCTCGAAAGAGATCCATCACGCTGTACCTCCCCCGGAGCGCAGCTCTCGACGCCCCAAACGCCACGAGCGTCGCACCAGCCCTCTCGTCGGCATCTCCTGGTGGAGAGTCTGCTTAGACGAAGCGCAAATGGTGGAGCGTGGGGTCAGTCAGGCCGCCCAAGTAGCGCGGATCATTCCGCGGTGTAACGCCTGGGCAGTTTCCGGCACTCCTCTTCGCAAGGACGTCCAGGATCTACGTGGTCTTTTGATCTTCCTCAGATGTGACACATTTGTAAACCACGAGGCAATCTGGAATCGCCTCGACAAAGCGTCGTTCAAGAGCATTTTCAGCGAGATTGCCCTACGGCATACCAAGGACAGAGTTCGCGATGACCTTCAGATACCGCCTCAGAAACGCGTTGTCATTACAGTTCCTTTCACAACTATCGAGGAACAGAACTACAGCGAAATGATGCGTCAAATGTGTGATGCATGTTGGCTCACACCTGAAGGGCAGCCCTTGGAAGAAGGTCGCGACGAGACCCATCCCCAGGTTGTCGAGCGCATGCGGGAATGGCTGGTCAGGCTGCGCCAGACGTGTCTCCATGCGAACGTGGGTCGAAAGAATCAAAGAGCCTTGGGTGGAAAGAAGGCGGCTTTGCGCACCGTACACGAAGTTCTGGAGGTCATGATTGAGCAGAACGACACCAAATGGAAGTCAGAGGCTCGCGAAATGATTCTATGTCTGATCAAGATGGGTCACATTCATGCTTATTCCGAAGATCCAGTACACGCACTTGAGTACTACTACAAAGCCCGAGAAGAAGCAGAGACATATATCAAGATATGCAGAGGCGAGCTACGCGCGGAGCAGCAGAAGCTGGGCCGCGCATCTACAGCTGACCTTCGTGAGGCTGATGAAGAGCAAGATGTAGCTGCAGATAAGATGGGCCGTATCCCGATTCTGCGTAAATCGCTACGGTCATTTCTGGAGCTTCAGCATGCCGCTCAGTTCTTCAGCGCCACTTCGTTCCATCAGAGAAAAGAATTGCGAATGTACAACACGGACCCAGGATCGGATAGGTGGCGCGAGTGGGACGAGTCTGAGACATCCTACTACGAGGCGGCCAGGGCCATCCGCCATGAGCTGCTGGAGGGATCGAAGAGTAAAGCGCAGCAGCAAATGGCCAAAGTCAATACCAAAACGCCTCTCCAATTGCCTACGATCGCTGACCTCCCAGGTCTTGGGGGTATTGAAGCGCGAAAGATTCTCGACACGATGGACAACATCAGTGATTATTTGAATGAGCAAGCTCAGCAGATACACGCTTGGCGCACAAGAGTTATTGACATTCTTCTTACGCGCTTGGTTGATGACGAAGACGACAAAGAGTTGACAGGAGAAGAATACGATGACTCGCTCAAGGCTCAGGATGAGCTATACGTTTACATCATGGCTCTTCGAACACTTGTCGCAGACCGCAACGCTGCTGTAAACGGTCTACAGGACACTCTTGTCGAACACGAGCTTAGGGCTGCCGAAAAGCAAGCCCTGAGGAAAGACAACGACGAAGGCGATCGCGGTCACGCACCTCAACTTGTGCTTGAAGTTGTCAGGAGACGACGCGAACTGCAAGCGAAACTCCGGGCTGGATCTTTGAGGGGCGTTATCTCTAGTATTCGCTCCTTGATGACTACTCTGCAATGGAAAGCGAACAGTGGTGATGTCCGCGCTTCTTCCGAGCTCGAAATCCTTCAGACGCACATCACTAAGGTTCAGGCTATAGTCACAGAACAGGCAAAGGTTATCACTGAACTTGAGAAAGAGCAGGAACTGTATCGAGGCACCATGAACCAACGTCTAGAGTACTATCGGCAGTTTCAACATATCTCCGATACCGTCGCAAAGTACAAGGAGACGCTAGACAGCAGATTCGACCAGCGCGAGTTTGATAGAACCGACGACTTGCGAGAGAAACGCGAGAACAACGCCAATGGCTTCAAAACAAAGTGCACATATCTGAAGCATCTCCGGAGTGAAAATCTGAAGGAGACGACAGCCGAATGTATCATTTGTAGGGAAGACATTGAGATCGGAGTCTTGACGGCTTGCGGTCACAAGTACTGCAAAGAGTGCATCAATCAATGGTGGCAGGCACATCGGACCTGCCCAACCTGTAAGCAGAAGTTGGGCTCGTCTGACTTCAAGGATATTGTCTTCAAACCGACCGAAATCAGAGCGAAAGAAGAGATAGACGCAGCTGCCAGTCGGACGCATGCTTCTACGCCAGGCTCTTCGTCCACCACGTCCACCACGTCCATCTACTCTGACCTGTCTGACTCAACTATGAAAGAGATCAAGATGATCGACCTGGAAGGCTCATACGGCACCAAGGTAGATATGATCGCGCGTCATTTGATCTGGATCCGCAACAACGACCCTGGTGCGAAGTCCATCATCTTCTCCCAGTTTGGCGACTTCCTCGAAGTGCTCTACGAAGCGCTGAAAAAGTGGAAGATTGGTGCCAGCAGTATCACTGACAAGAACGGCATCCGGGAGTTCAAGCTAGATCCCAGTGTCGAGTGTTTGCTCCTGGATGCAAAAACCGATTCTTCAGGCCTAAGTCTTGTAAACGCTACCTACGTCTTCCTCTGCGAACCGCTCATCAATCCCGCAATCGAACTCCAAGCCATCAACCGCGTCCACCGAATCGGGCAAGAACGACCCACGACGGTTTTTATGTACCTTATCAGCAACACAGTCGAAGAAGCCATCTACGATATCTCTGTTGCCCGCCGCCTCGAGCATATCAGCAACAACACATTGTCGAAAACACCGATGCAGTCTAATCCCACTACTCCCGCTATCAAAGAACAGACACT